ATAGGTAAATAATCAGCAAGTAGCTCCCAATAACTTTAAGCTATCATCTAATACACACAACAGATTAAGTTCAACAAGCAAAATATTGGGCCTCATAAATTCAAGACATAGAATATTAAATAGATTTTGCAAGAAAATACATACAGGATGGCGACCAGAGCAAATGTTTATCTGAAGAGGTTCACTGTCATCCACAAACATGGGCCGGACATAATTCTGCAAAACAAAAAAAAAAAAAAAATCACAGCTTCAAACTAATCAGAAATTGAAGCAATCTCTTTGATTCTTCAAGGATGTACCTTATTTTTCAAAAGAGTAGCAAACGAGAACAAACAATCCAAAGTGGCAAGAGCTTGAACAGCACCTCGGAACTCAGCATAATATATACCAAAACCCCTTAGAAAGCTATCCCAGGCAGCTCGGGAGACAATCATGAGCTCCTCATTGGCGAGTAATAGCTGGTCTAAGGCAGTCAAAACTTCAGGCGGGTGATACCGAATCATTTTCTTGGTACTATTTACCTTGACCCAATTTAATGGAACTTTGAAATCCAAGGGCAACTGCAGTTAAAACTAGATCAACTTAGCCAGCTAACAAAAAATATTGTAGATAAGATAACATAAGCAGTCAAGTTGTTGACTTCTGAAAAATACATTCTGCAACTGGAAAAAGGGCCAGGGGTGCCTGCCAACCATACAGCCCAAAACAATTACGCTCAATTTTACATAATAAGAGGTCAATTTAAGAACAGGAAGTTACTGCCAATAAAACCCAAGAGCTCTGTACTAATAGAAATCTAATTTGGCGTATATAAATGTAAATATTGCATTTCTTTAACAAAATAAAATACATTTCTTTATTCCCAGAATATATTGACCGGGATACCTCTATCAGATGTGTGGTTCCAGACACACTCATGAATTCCAAGTTGCGCATCTGAAGTTGCTTGCGATACAAACCAATTAAAGAATCCAATTTCTCCTTTGCAAATTGAACAGCTTCCCGAGCTCTTGCAACCTGTGGATGAAGAGTTGGATTCAGAAAGAATTTTAAATTTTATATCAGCCTAAATAAATCCCAATAATGATGAAATTCAGAAGGTGAAGAACTTCAGGAAAAAGTACAAACCTCTGGAAATTGGTCATCAGAAATAATGATCAAGTTTGTCAGGTCACCTTGTTCAGCTGCTTCTTTGTTCAGAGTAGACAATAGTTTTGCAGCATTACCAACTACACTTGAGGAAGAAACAGCCAAAATCAATCTTTTCAAAAGAACTGACTTCACAGTCTTTGATCCCACTCCGTCATAATTATGCTCCTCTTGAATGCAAAGTCGCTTAAGTCGTTTTCCTGCAGCTAATATAGCTTGAAGAACTGCAATAAACTGTCATTCAGTCATTTAAATCTGTTAGCAGCAAAGCAGTAAGCCTGAAAAATCAGTACAAACAATTGTTAGATAAAAAACTACACTCGCATGAATATCTGAGATGCAGCTAGTGCTACTTGGTCGCCCATAGCCACACAAGCACAGCAATGGGAGAAGAGAATGAAGAAAGATAAGTAAGGTACATAATTAAGAACATAAGCAGAAACTAGTCACAAATTATTGTATAAATAAGAGCATATATGACAAGTGATGTGTCAATAGTTACTTCAGATGCAGTTGCAGTCCGATGGAAAATTCTTGTTATTCCACGTTCAATATCAGGTGATCTTCCCAAGGCAGTCAAAACAGCAGAAAGCAGATAATACAAGTCAGGTTGTACAATTGCTACTTCAGAATCATCCTCATCAAGTTCACTCACACACTGAGAATCTTTATATGATCCCATGCATTCTGCAATCTCAGAAACAGCATCAAGACGAGCGGATATCATGTTTCTATCACATAAAGGGTGAGTCACCTGCATCGTGAATCAAACTCAAAAATTGCATAGTGGCTCTAACCATAGTTGAAATTATATATCAAGTTAAGAACAGCCCATACCCAATGTCTGAGTAGCCTTGAACCATATATTGTAAGAGTATGATTCATGATATGCAGCAAGGAACCAGACTCAGACCCATCTGAGTTATTTCTCAAAACCTGAACATGGTGATACCTCCATCTTTTTAGCACAAACAAAGTCTAAACAGAGAATAAGAAAGACTTGAATGAGCAAAATATGAACTTAAAATATGATCGAGGTTCCATTTATTATGATAGATTGTTTATGTGTTAGTTTTACAAAAAACTGCGAACTGAATTTACAAGAATGTAGTCAAGTTCCTAAAAACTATAAGGAAGTTCCACAACATTGTCCTTTTCAGACACTAAAAAGGATGGAATCGTGGAAGAAAATCACATGATAAAAATTGATCCCCAATGCACTCTTTTTCGGGATCTTGATCGTGTTTCAACCTTAAGAGCAAAACAGATAAAATTATTTGAAGGAGGGAGCAAGTTTTATTTCTCAAACCCTCCCCGCCATATGCCATTAGTTGATAACAAAATCCTGGAAGGAGGGTTACTAGTAAGAGCGTGCAGTGGATCTTCATTGACAACCACTTGCAGTTAAGCAAACCAATACTTTCATAGTTTCTCAGCATATTAATTACCTCTAATTGCTGGAGTGTATTGGCTGAAAGATTCATCTCCATGTTGCTTGAGAAGGGCCGAAAAGATGCTCCAAGGCATAACATTCTATCAAATCCAAATTGTTTCAGGTGGCGAACAGTTAAGGCCAATGCTTCCACAGCCAAATCAGGCATTTTTATTACTCCCTTCATGACCCAAAACAGAAGCTCAAGAAGATAACATTGGCTAAGTATAGACAAATATATTCCCACTCCGCATTTAAAAAATTAAGAAATATCAAACCTCAATTGCTAGGTGACAAGACCCCTGTTCTTTGGCCTCTTTCATTTGCTTTTCATTGTCTCCTAGATAATCTTCAATCATATTCTCATATAAAGACATCACATCAGCAAGCGCACCACCATCACTGAAACAATCTCGCGAGACACGCTCCACACGAACATTTGAGGAAGGTCCAGAATATGCCAGTAGCAACTGATAATAAACAGGCCCATGCTATCAGACTGCTTTATTTTTATTGCAATAGATTTATGAAATTTTGATATATGGCAAAAATCTTTTCCATGTTCAGTTTTAACAAACAGTTGGCCTGAGTCCTCATTATATGCAGCTAAAGCAACAGATCATGCATCACATTCAACAGCAAATTCAAGAATTGCATAATCATCTCACATTTCGAAATTGAAAGAGAACATCTTTTCTTATACTTTTCTCCAGTTGTTGCATACAACACATTCTAATTCTAACACAACTAAAAACTACCTTCTCTGTTTGTTTCGAAAGTGGATCACCAAGGAGCAATTCAGCAGGAGCCAGGCTCAAAACAAAAGCTTCCAGCCCACTCCTCATAAACCCGTCATTAAACTCTCCATAAACAACATCCCCTGTGGAAATCTCAACCGCAACAACACCAACTCTCACATCAAAAACCCCACCCTCAACCCCACAGTCCAAAACCTTCTCCACTACACAACACAAATAATTACTCTCACCACCACACTCCTCCTCTCCCCCTCCCACGTTCTCCGCAGCCTCCAAGGTAGCTTTCGTATACAATGCCGATAAGCCTCTACAAAATGGCCCACTTTTATTCTCTCCATGTGCCTTAATAGCCGCAGTCTCAGTCTGTTTAACAACCCCAACTTTATAGCCTTCACTGACTAACCTTCTCACATGGACATTTAATCGGAAAGTTGGAACAGAAGCGGTCATAAAGTTATGATCTTTATGTGCATAAATACCTAAAACTCTAGCAGCAATCTCGGCGTCTTCACCGAAAAATCGAAACTTGTAACCAACTTCAATCATTAAAAGAACATCGGGGTACCTTTGTTTCAAGTCAACTACTTGTTGTTCTAGAGGAGTGAACTTTTGAGTGTTTTGAGGTTGTGAGGTTTGAGAGGTTTGAGGTTCTAAGAGTTTATCGACGAATTTTTTGTGTAAAGAGGGAAGCGGGTTTTGTGTGTGAGGTGAAAGTTTAGGTCTTTTTGGTGTGGAAGTTATGCGAGTAGAAAGAAGATTGCGTTTTGATGGAGAGAAGGCGACTGTTGTTGTGATTTTTGGAGAGGAGGAAGATGAAAGGGCTGTTTGTGGTGGTGGTGGTGGACTAGTGGTGGTGGGTTTGGATTTGGGAGCGAAAAAACGGGAAATTATTTGTTGTTTTTGTTTGCCCATGGTGGTGGAGGTTGTGATGGAGGAGGAGGAGGAGGTGAAGGGATTTGTTCGTTGAATTGGCGCGCTTTTGGGTGTGTCTCTTCCTAGATAATCGACGGCTAGAAACAATGAAGTTTCTCTATGTTTCAGACATTCTGACTGATGGCAAAACGAAAACAGAATCTCTCTTTGTATTGAACTTGGGCCTGATAAGGATCACAACTGAGGGAAATTATTATGTGCGTTGGGTAAGAACCGGAAAACAGTTGCTTTCAGTAGAACTGGGCTTGATTTTCCATTTTATGACTAGATGTTGAGAAATCCGATCCAATTTTCCATTTTCCGACCACTGTTACACATAACAGTTCATGAAACAGAAAAAGGTTGGACTGACCATTACTGAATCCAGTTGGATACAATGTCAAACATGCATGGTCATGATTAAACTACTAATCAAGATAATCCAAGTCTCTCTTTTACCCAAATCACTGTATTCATAAAAAAAAATTCTTGTAATTTATTCTTAGATGTGAACCTTGAATATGAGGTTGCTTAAAAATAAATTTCCAAGAATTGTACAAAATATAATATATAATTTTATGAAGAACTGATTTTGAAAATCTTTTATTTATATTTTGAGTTTGTAATAATAATAATGGTTCAAAATATTTTTTATTTAAAAATATATTAAAATAAAAAATTTTATTTTTTTAAAATTATTTTTGATATTAAAACAACAAAAATAAAACAATATAAAAACATAAAATAAATTTTCATTTTAAACCAAAAAAAATAATTCAAAATTTAAGGGAACAACATACCCTTCATGTTTTATAAAATTTACAGCAGTGGTTTAATCTGCACAATCTTGCTTTCTTCCTTGAAGCTGTGATTGCCACCCCTAGCAAACTTGAGCTGCAAAAAGGCATGGAAACTTTGGAAGATTAATGCACCCAGCGCGGATATCAAGCAGCCAGAAAAACGTTCAGTTTTGTTAACGCTTTCAGTATAGAGAGCATTCCATCTTCCAAGTTAATAATGATAGACTTCAGCTTTATAAGATCATGCACTTGTCACTGCAGTTGCATGCTATCGGTGTCGCTGCCACAACTCTGCAACTTAAGCAATCAGAAGCATAGACCTCGCCTTGAGTAATTAATCATGGACATAATCATATGCTGAGAACCCACTGTACAGTAGAGAGCCATTCTCAGAGTGGTGAAGAAGGTAGTAGCAATCATTGCAGAAATAGCAGGGGTTATCTGGGGCCCACTTGTCATCCACGGTCACCTTCACAGCTCTATAAACCTTGCATATCATGCATTTCTGGGTACGAAATTTTATTTGAAAACTGACTATAGGATACGCTAAGCGATTTTGTAAATCATCAGGATGAATCAACCTCATGTCTCTGAATACAATTGTATGCTTACAATCCCCCTGTCCAAGACAGACAAGAAGTTGAATATCATGATGATGTCTGCATGAAACTCTTTAACATATACACGCAGTACCACCCATAGCTCAAGCAAAATACGTAATGGAAATCACACAACCCCTAATGGAACTTGAGAATTTTAGCAAAGAGAATGATAGGTGCAAATGTAAGCATACAAAGGTAAATATAGACTTGAAAAGATAAAACTTGCACGTTCATGATCCCAGCAGAGCAACATCCGCAGAAAAAAATCTACCTGGTGACAGTAAAGATATCCTGCACCAAGACGAAATCTCAAGTCACAAAATCGTGTGTTCTGCATGTCGCGACGTCTAAATTGAGGCAAACAAGGAGTGGTTGATTCGCCTAAAACTGCTTTCTGCTTTTGTTGCAAGTCACCACTTATGATACACTCCCACTTTCTAAAAGCATCAGCTTTTTTGTTTCTAAGCCAATCAATTATAGGTTCACTATAATCTATAGCAGATGTATCTCTCAAATCATTGCAAAATACATCCTACATAAATGCAGTGTATCATTAGATATAGTGAAAAACTTTCTTTGTAATAAAATCAAACTAGAATGTGTAGAGGTTCATACTTCTACAAGAAAATATCCTGAAGGATCATGCTGCCCTGCCTTCTGCATCATCTGGTCTGTCAAGCAGTAAATCTTGTCCCTCATTTCAGTCAAGGTTTGTCGTCCTAGAACCAAGAACTCTTGAGTCTGCAACAGAATATGACATCAACGAAGGAAATGGAAAAGGGAAGAATAAAGGCCTAGCAGAACATGAATTACGAGAATAAAAGAAGTTGTAGCAAAACCAAATAAATCTAACAAAACCAGTTCACCATGCAGAACAAGAAATATATCAATAAAAATGTTAAAAGCAAATGTCAACCAGGTTAGAATTTGAGGGAAAAACAAGTGCCAAAGTTATACCTTAAGCCATTTACGGATGCAGTGGTAAATCTCAACACAAATAACAACCTCTGGAAGCATCACAGTTATGTGTTCTTGAAGGTCTGAGGACTTCAGCTGTTGTGTAATTGAACGAAGTCAACTTTACCATATTGTACAATATTAAATCAAGCAGAATAGGGGCATGCACTATGAGCAGTGCATATTTAGAGAGGAAATGCAATAAAAATCAAAATAGGCGCTTCTAAAGAGAACCTTTTTTCCGAAATTTGTAGACCTGAGAGATTGCATTGTTTTGGTTCTATTTAAAGAAGTAATGCCACTGTAATTGATCTTGCAACTACAGGAGACAAAATAAATGTAATAATAAGTGCAAGTTATGAAAAGCATGATAATAATTGCAAAATAAGAAAAGCATCAATTGTTGCGAAAAGCAAACATATCTCCAAAAACATACTTGAAGGAATGCAGACGAGTCATTGCTTTGTCTTGATCCTGTTTTTGTTTTATTTTTACCAGATCATCCACCTTCATTAGGTAACTCTCCTGGCCATGAAGAAAAAAAAAAAATAATAATAGAATAAGAATGCATGACTAGTTCCTGTAAGACGAGGGAAATTTAAAATTATTAAACCAAAAATTAATCTTTGTTCATACAGTTAACGAGTAAATAATCGTGCACATCTTTCATTAATCTAACTAAATTCACCTAATTAGTTCCAAACAAGAGAGCATGTGAAAATTACTAGCATATTTTTAACATATTTCTTTCAATCTTATGTGTGATTTTACTAAGAAACTGTAATCTCAAAGCAACTAACAAGTATCAGAGAAACAAGATTATATATTTTTAGTAGCAGACAGAAGCATTAATAAGAACAAGTACTTAAGACGAGGAAAAGCAAAAGATCTGATTTGTCAAGGCCTGATGTTTAATTTTTTTCAAATTTCAAGGTGATATTGTGCACCAACCTAGGTATTGTCTAAACAGAGAAAAAACACATTAGCTGCAAGCAGGGATGTAAAACATAGATACAATAGAACAGGAGAGTGTGACATACATTAACATCATGCATATTGGACTTTCTTCTCTTTCCATTCTTTGAATTGTTGCTATTAATAGTATCTCTATTACAACTGGTGCTAGAGTGAGATCCATTTGACAATTCCAGAGGAGCTGAAGTGTCCCTTCTTCTTATAGAGCTTTGTGAGCATGAATCTTTATTGCTGCACATTCTAAGGTCGTCTTCTCTTCTGAAAACAAAAAATCAACTGATTTAACAATAAAGAAAAAAAATTCAAAGATGTTTGCTTAACAAATGGCAGGTCAATATTTCCTAACATTCCTATGATTCATACATGGAGAAGAGGAAAGCAGAAGAATGCAGACAGAAGTTGATTAAACTCGATCAAACTGAACCCAATCCCAAACTAGAAGAGGTTGGCCATTGACAACAAACATGTTCCGACATTGCCCTAATGCAACTATTCTTGTTTGCAGCAGGGCGACTTGTCTATCACCAATAAGCACAGCAGCAATTCATCAAATACAAAGATAACATCCCATGATGTTGTGAAAATAGCAACTTTTCTAACATTCATCCAAGGTAAAACATGAAATATAACCAATTGCTTTTGATAGACATGTTCTTGTAAATGGACAGCAAGATTTTTTTAGCCTGGCCACACTAAATGAAAATCACTTGTACCTTGACAGTCCCAATTCCATATATTTTCATGAGAATTAACTCCCCATTAGCACATGGGAAAAAAACACGGCCAACCCAGATTTTTCATCCATTTCCTGTTTTCTTCCTCTCTCTCTTTAAGAGATGCGTGAAAGCAAGCACTAATTTAAGCAGTAAATGAATATAGATGCATGCATAACGTGCAACTTATGGGTATTTGATCTCAAAAGTACCATAATAAACCTGAAGGGACATAAATATGGATAATAGGAACCTAAAGCAATGAAATTTTTATATTGCACACGTGTGAAAAAGGGATGCTTGATTAAGAAAACAAGAATGAGAAGAACAAATGCCTACACTAACCTTGCATTTGAGTGTTCTACAAAGGGCTCTGGGGAACTTCCAGTATTCTCACCATCCTGTTGCAGTGCTCATTTTCAAATTATCAAAACAAATTAGTAGTAAAAAAAAGTTTGATTTTCTCATAAATTAATAGATTGATATTAGAAGAGGGGAGAAAGAGATAAAAAGCAGCATACCTTAAAAGCTTCTTTCAAGGCCATATCTACCAACTCTTCCTCGCTAAAAATTTTAAGCTCATCAACCCTGCATACACCAATTCAATTTGTGCAATCAAAGTTTAGTGAAGAAAAGCCAACAAAACATTAAGAAAATAGAACATAGTCAAGTTTTAATCAATAAAGTAGATGATAGAGGACAACATACGAAAGATCAATGTCATCGCGGAGTTCTGAAGAATCCAAAGACAGTTCCGACTGCAAATTCTGCAATAATTGGATGTTACAGATAACTTATATAATTAAACAGGGAGTTGTTAATGATCCATAATGGAGCATAAAAGGAAGTGTGCAAAATAAATAATATAAACCTGAAGCTCACTGAGAAGAGCAGCTTGGAAGTCAGGAACTGTAGTGAGAGGACCCACCAAATTGGGAACGTATATGGGTCCACCATGAGCAATTGATTCATTCTCCCCTTCGCTTGACTCTTTCATCTACTGCTTTTTGTTTTTGGTTCCTGGGTCCTAAATCAACAGGGAGGTTTTCCCACAATTGGAAAACTAGGATTTGTAATAATTTAAGTAGGACAGAGAGAAATTATGACAATTTCTTATTCAAGCTGGATAATTCATAAATCTAATGTGCCATGAACAAAGCATGGCATGCCACAATCAAGGTATACTGGCCTTTTTCACCTGAGATTGTTGGGTGACCGTCTCCTGCAAGTTGGGATTTAACAAGGCTGAATAAGTTGGGCATAAAAAGGAAGAAAGGGAATCTAAGTTAGTCCAGGCAAGAGAAAATCACTGCCTCCACAGAAATCCAACTAACCATCCCATTACTCAAACCACAACTTAAAACAGGCAAAAATTAAATAAAAGTAAACCCAACAAACAGATTCAAACGAGTAGGAGACTTGATTAAGCTGCTGAATTTCTGTATTTTGTGTGAACCTACTTAATATCTATCTTGTCATTGCACCACCTCAGAGAATTTGTATCAGATTAAAACAGAATCGTTTAATAAAGAAACAAAGCCAAACTGCCACCTTTTGTCCTTATGAACCCTCTCTAGTCGATCGCCCACAATCCCATCCCTATACAAACTCAACAATCAACAAACATGTCACCAAAGAACTCATGAGTTTGCCACACTGTTCAAGTCTGCATTATTCATGCTCCAAACCCAATTTACATCTCCTGATACCAGAAGTCAATTTTGATGAGATGTCAAACAAATAGCTCAAATGAGAGTTAACTACAGCCTGGGACTGCAAATGCCCTTGCATGAAAATTCTGGAACTGAAGGATGATTAAGCTTAAACCTCCAGCCACCCATATTGAGCACCCAACCTTGGTGGCCACAATCTAAGTAGCTCTCTAGGGTCAGGCCTAACCAAATTTTTCAATACTAAATGTTCTCAACCCACGCAGTAATAATAATAATTGAAAAAAAGGGGATTACACAATATAATAAAAAGTTCACACTTCACCAACCAGATTTGAGTGCAATGTTTTAGTGATCTGTTGGGCATCCAAAACAAGGAACATGACTCTATATAAGCACTAGCAAAAGAACACACACTAACAACAACAACAAAAATAAAAACTTTCAGCTAACACAAATCAGAGGACATAGTCATCTCTCAGAAAAAAAACCTTAATTTTCAGCCAATTTTAGTTGCAATCAAAATACTAATTAAGACCCAAAAAAACCCCAAACTTAATTAAATTCCCTTTAATTTCAATTAAAAATAATCTAATTTCCTAATTTTCCACCAAAAAAACCTAGCTTTAGCCACAACAGCAATACCAACTGACTACAACCCAAAAGACCTAAAGTTTATCAACATGAAAACCCCTAACATCACTAATTATATATTATTAACAACCAATTAAGCTTAAATACAGCTTAATTACTCAAATTCAAAATCAAGAACTTACCAACTGGAACCACCTACAGCTTCTAATCACTAATGATCAATCGTCAAAACACGTGGAATACCAACAGTTTATTTTTCAGTTTCTAGCAGCCTAGTAAACAGATCAAAGGAGCCAAAGAAAATGGCACCAGATTGGGTGCAAGGGAAGAAGCTCAAATCAGAACACAGCCAACCTATCGAACAAATATATGAGCCGATAGGTAGAACAAAACCGCATGCCAAAAAATATCATCAAGCAGTTGATGAACTGGGTGAATTTGATCTCCGAGCATTCTAAAATATGATTAAAAGAATCTTATGCAACCAAGAAATTGATAAAATCGCACTTTAGCAGCCTTTTACTAATTAAAGAAAGGAAACACACCAGTAAAAGTCGTAAGGAAAAACAGGGTGCTTAGCCTACATTCCCAGACACCGAAGCACTTTCGTGCATTGAAAGATAGTCGGGTCCCCACTCGACTCCATTTTTTCTTCTATTTCTCCTCCAATTACAACTGCCAGTTTGGGCCAAGTTTACAAAGCTCAACTTACGCATTCCCGGCAGATTGTTGATGCCGAGGTGCAGCGCCTTGGTACCGAAGGCATTCCGGACAGACTGTTGATATCGAGGTGCAACGCCTTGGTACCAAAGAAGCTATTGGACTTGACTTTTACCGGCTTTTTCATCAACAAATATGTCGAATTTATTGCCAGTAATGTTGTTGCTCTAATTGACGAATTTTCACGCAGAGAATATCAAGAGCTCAACTACGTGCAGGTTGTTTCTTTCATCATTCGTGCTATAATTGCCTTGCATCACCACTTCAGGAATTAATGCATGCATCAACAAATTATAATCTTGAATGGAATTTACTTGATGTTATTGTGACAGATTCAAGCGTGCATAAACAAACAAATCAAGACAGTTCAAGGCAAGGAAAACTAGATCAATAAACTGCAAAGCAACAAAAAACAAAAACAAGAGCCATGGCCATGACTAACTTGCCTGAAATTGAGTGTAGTCTAAGCTTGGATTGAATGTCAGTACTCTTCTGCGCATGGATTAGGAAGAAGAAACCTGAATTGAAGGGAGGGGGGGAAGCCGGGAATAGGCGATTTGTTTTGTCCTCTCCGTGTGGCCGCTGTTTTGTAAAGTAGGGGATTTTATCCCTCATTCAAAACGGCAACGGTTTTTTAATTTTTTTAAAAAAAATCAGGGCTTACCCATGCTTTTCCAGGTGAATTTATGTGAGGGTGTTTGGTAATAGGAATGTGGTTTTTAAAAATATTTTTTTAATATATTAAAATAATATTTTTTTATAAAAATATTTTTAACATTAGTGTATTAAAATAATTTGAAAATATTAAAAAATATTAATTTAAAAAATAAAGGAAATAATTTTAAAAATAATTTTAAAATATAAAAAATAAATGCCGCCATGTATTTTTATAACCAAAAGACAATGAGATTTCTACGTTTCAATTGTCTCTATTTTTATTTTCATAGCTATAACTATCCCGGTCAACGTAACAAAGGGACGATTCGAATATCGTTTTAAATGATGTATTTTTAAATTTTAAGAAAAAATAAAATTAATGTTTTTTATATTTTTATATTTATTTTATTTATTATGTTAAAAATCATTATTTTAAAATAAAAAATATATATTATTTTAATAAATTTTAAATAAAAAATACTTTAAAATAATTATTATTATTCTACCCCCAAGATACATGTGAGGATAGTGGGGTAGGGTAAAAATTAGATTGCAAGGGCATGCACCCTTTCCTTCTAGGAAATTGAAACGTAGAAATCTCATTGTAATTTGCAAGTTGTTACTGTTCATATTTTATGATATAAATATACAATGAAAATTCACCATGCACGGATGATGGGATTCCATTAATAAAGAAGAGCTAATTTCAAAAGATTTATTGGAGGGTTATGCATTCAGCAAGAATTAAATCTATGAATTTATCAATTATGAGTTAGGTACTTTAACTATTCATCCATAAATGCTTAGCAGGATTTTCATGTGTGATGAATAATTAAATTTAATTAAAATAAAATTTGCAATTTAAATTTATGATGAATAAGCGGACAGATCTCAATTCAAATCTTAAATTTTTGAATTAAGAGAGATCAAGAATTATCACTATTTTTTGGATTTGTATATCTATTTATTTTTGTATTTTAAAAGTATTTAAAAAAATTAATTTTAATTTATTTTCTTTATTTCAAATTAATATTTTTTTAATATTTTTAAATTATTTTAATTTATTAATGTTAAAAATAATTTTTTTAAAATAAAAAATATTATTTTAATATATTCTAAAATAAAAAACATTTTCAGAAATAACTGGAACTATATTTTCAATTATCCTTTTGAAACCAAGTTTTAAATAACAAAAGTCTTACAAAAGAGATAGAGGCAGCCCACGTTTTTTTTTTTTTTTCCAGACATGATAATTCCTCACCGACAAACAGGTTATTTATATGACTTTTTTTTTCCTTCGCATGCTCAAAGTGTGTGTTTTGTATTTTAATAGTTTTTACAATTACAATATAAAAAATAATTTTAATTGTGGTTATAAAAAATATGTATTTGATTAAAATAATTAAAAGATAAATTTTAGCATAGAAAATAAGATAAAAAAATAAGAATTGAATTTTTTAACTTTTAAAAAATTAAAATTTGAAAAAAAAAATTATAAATCCGATAAAAAAACACTTATTTAACCAAATATTATTTTTCATTACAGTTACATTAAAAAACTAAAAACAAAAACTATCACAGTTTCAAAAGTGTCGGTAATGATGAACTTGAATCCACTTGAATCCTTACAGTGGATTTTGCCTTAATGAGCCGAAACATAGGTAAGTAAGATGGGCCACATCACTTGGGCTTACTCTTGGAGCCTCCTCGTTAATTAGGCCTGATATTTTCGGCCACGTCAATATATATATATATATTGCCAGCAGAAGCTCTGAACCAGAAACATGTTTACTTTTAACACAAGAGGAATTATCTGTGCGTATCTGCCCTCTGTATCACTGTACTCTGCTCTAGCTATGTTTATTTTATCGGATGCTCGTTAAATTTTTTTTTAATTTTAACACAATTGATAAATAGATCCAAATTTCAATATGAGTTTGTGGCGTAAATTGATTCTTAAGAGATTCGAGAACGAATTGTGGCCCTCCTACCATATTCTTCATCTTCCCTGGATCAAAAAGAATTATTATTGCATCAAATACCTCATGTGAAAACAAATCAAAGACAAAAGGATAAGAACCTGCTTTTATAGGCATCGCTGGGCAAACCAGCAACCTGTTTTTAGTCATCAATTCCACATACTGGATCTGGACCACCATTGTTCAACCTTCGTGTCAATGGTAGTTACTATATATATATATATATATGAATGGACCAATACGTATCATGCAACTCAATGCCTCTTTACTATCTATATCTCTAGGAAAAAAAAAAAAAAGATGCTGCAAATGCAAATGGTGCATGTGTCCCCACTTGAGGTTTTTTCAAGTTTTTTTTATCAATTGGATCTCATTGATTAGTTAAACTTCAGGGTCTATTTGTTTTTATATTTTGAAAGTATTTTTGAAAAAAATTAATCTATTTGTTTTTACATTTTGAAAGTATTTTTGAAAAAATTTAAAATTTTTTATTTTTTTATTAATTTTAAATTAATATATTTTTAATGTTTTTAAATCATTTTCATTCGTTAATGTTAAAAATAATTTTTAAAAAATAAAAAAATATCATTAATATATATTTTAATATAAAACACCATTTAAAAAAGCAACAATAATTACACTTTCAAACAGGATTGTTACAAGGACCATGCCGTGCTATGTTTGCTATGTGGCTGGAAAAGGAAAGAAGTTGGGAGAGACAAAAGGTTTGGATGGAACCACGTAGTTGAAGGGACAGGAACCAGCTTGTGTCCACACAACAATTCTTCCTTAAATCTGAGGCCCGGAGGCAACCACCACTGCTCTACTTCCCTATCTACTCGAATAACGGCTAGTAAATAGGGTCTCCGTCGCCATAGAATAATGTATGGATGGGAGGAGGACTTTGAAAATCCAAATTCATCTGTATTAATCTTTCCATTGTCCTTTCCCTCACCCTGATACACTCTTTTCATCTGGAAATTTACATAAAAACATTTACGTGCGATGTATTGGTGAAATGAAGGAGGAGGGGGGAGGAAATGATCGAGGCTATTAACATCTTTTAAATATAGCTTGTACCTCTTACAGTAAATTATCTAGAATTAATAATCCATTGTCGCAAGAATATTTAGACCTTAATATCTAGTGTTGTGTGTGTGTCTCTCCCCTTCGGCTTTAAATATTGATATATCTTCTCAGTAAATCAGCTCGAGATGAGATTTTTCTTGCTAGCTGAATGAAGTTGCATGTCTTGTGATGCTATTCAAAATACATTTTTATTTTAAAATATATATTTTTTAATTTCAATATATTTAAAATAAAACCATCTTAAAAAATATTAAATTAATATTTTTTCAATTAGTTTAAAGAACATCCAAATAAAAATACTAAATATGTGTTTGTTTAACCGTGCAGTTAGATGCACAAATATAAATGCACCCTTAAATATTATCTAAAACTTTTTTAATATTATTATTGGAAGAAGTGACAAGTTTGTTTTATTTTTTATTTTTTTTTTGAGTATTTTATTTAATTTAATGTTTTTTATCTGATTAAGTCCCTTTACTTTTAAAGGCTCTAGTTACATGCTTTATACTTTCTTGAATTTTTTTTATAATTTTATTCATTTTAATTTTATTTTATTTTTTTAAAATTATTTATAGTCTTTATTCTTTTGATTGTTATATTTTTTTATTTTATTTTTTAATATTGTTTTTAGTTTTTTATCCACTTTTAGTCCTTATTTTTTCAATAACTTTTTTTTTATTTTTTTATCCACTTTTGGTCCTTATTTTTTCAATAACTTTTTCTATATTATTTTTTTGGTGTTTTTAATTTAACTTTTAATTATTTTCTTTCATTTTTTATACTATATTTGATTTGATTTGTATTATATTTGTTTTAAATTGTTTTACAGCTTATTACCTTTTAATATAACTGGTTTTTATTTAAAATTATTTATTTTAAATCATCATTTAACATTATTATACTTTTAATTTTAAATTTAATAGATTCTCGTGACACGATATATATTTAGTTTATTATTATTTTAATATTTTTTATAAAAAAAGATATTATTTTAAAATTTTGTTAAAAACTAAACTATATTTTTATTAATTCATTAATATTATATTTTAATTAAAAAAATAAATAATTTAATTTGATTCAACTTCCAAGTTTAATACAGTTAAAAAATTATTTATACTTTTAATATATATTTTTTTATTTTAAAATTTTGATCTCACCTGAGGCGGAGGACGTGAGCCGTAATAATCAAGACACGTGTATCCCTGAATGGCATTGCTGGTAGTTTGTGGCAACAGTGAGCGTCTTATATGAGGAAAGAGTCAAGAATTTTATAATGACAACGTAGAAGGGAGAAGAGAAATGAAAAAAAAAAAAAATCCAACCAACAACGACCCGAGTTATCCATATACAACCATAGAGCTTAGGTTAAGTTCATGGAGCTAGCCTTTCATTGTTCCAAAAGCCAGAGACAAAACCTCCAAATATACATCTCCACTAGATATCCTGAATGGAAAATGAAAAACTTCTCCACTAAATTCCATCCTTGTAGTCATCACCACACACAAGAATCTCAAAACCAAGAAACAAGAAAACAAAAGGAAACCATAGAGAAGGAGGAGGAGGAGGAGGAAAGAGCAAGGTGTGAATGGGATTTCAGTCTCTCCACAATAGTTTCATCAAGCAGCAGCAACAACACTGCATCCATATCAGATGCTTTAGGGGTGATCGAATTCGACCAGACGAATAGCATCATCGCCACAGGCGGAATGGCA